CCCCGAGGAAGGTGGCTGAACTGATTTGTGCTGAGTCGAGGACGTGGAAGACGGAGCTTCTTCACAGCCTGTTTGAACCGGATTCTGTCCAAGCTATCCTCAGCATACCCTTGGGCACTCATCTGTCGGATGACCGACTGATCTGGCATTACTCGGCCACAGGGGAGTACAATGTAAAGACTGGGTACCATGTTTTAACTAACGAATTGAATGCTCGTCACCCTCCGGATGTTTTACCTTTTGATTGTAGATTCTGGAAGCTCCTGTGGAACTTGCCGGTGCCCCCGAAACTCAACGTGTTCTTTTGGAGAGTGGTATGTTGCTTCCTGCCGCTGCAAACAGTGCTCCTGTTCAGGAAACTTGTAGACACCTCCACCTGCCCGGTGTGCACAGAAGGGCCGGAGACATTCATCCACTGCTTCTTCCAATGTCGGGTGGTGCGCGAGCTATGGCGTTTGGCGGGTTTTGAGCAGATCCGGTCGAGGCTAGAGGCTCTTACTCCGGAGGAGGCCTGGAAGGATCTTTTCTTCTCCTTGCGTCTAACTAAGCTGCAGGTTGCTGATATTGTGTTTCTATGTTGGCGGGTTTGGAAGGCGCGCTGCTGGGCTGTCCACGGAGGTATCCAGTACCTTGCTCCTGCGTTACTCAGACAATTCCGGAACCAGGTGGAGGAATGGCGGGCTGCTAGCGTGCCTGAACAACCGGTGGCTAGAGAGAATCGGACCGGGGCTACGGGAGGTCACGCCGATGCGGCGGGCACGTCAGGGACGCTGCACTGTCGATCAGGAGCTGATGGTCGAGTCCCTCCGAGTGCCATCACGGTCCGGGTGGACGGAGCGATCAAGCGTGCGCGTGGTGGCAGCATAGGATTTGCAGGTTTTGAACAGGATGGCAGCCTGCTAATGGCGTTTGGTAAGTACTACGAGGGTATCCAAGACCCTTTTATTGTGGAGCTTCTAGCTTTGCGAGATGCAATGAAGTGGTGTCTGACTCATGGGTTTCTGCATGTTAAATTCTATGGTGACGCTCTACTGGTGATCCGGCGGGTGCTGGCTCGGGATCGGCGGCATGTGTTGGGAGGAGCTATCCTAGAAGAGGTTCAACAGGTCGCAGAGAGTTTTGAGTTTTGTTCTTGTGCCTATTCTAATCGCAGGTTCAACAGGGCCGCCCATCTTGTGGCAAAACAAGCCCTTTCATCGGAAGTTCGACTGCTTGTCGACTTCCGCGTGTGGTTACTCTCTGTACTCTGACTATATGACTGAACGGTTCTCGTTTGTCTATGGAAAAAAAAATGAAGTCAAACTTCTTTGTAATAATTTATTATTTTTTAATTTTATGTATGATTTTCATTAAGTTCTTGAATAATTATTCTTGGTGTGTATATTGCATAAATTTGTTTGCTTTCTTGATGCAATATGAATGGTATGTATTCATAAAACAAAATATGAATGGTATGTACTTTTAGTGTGATTTCTTTTAATTTTGTGTGTGGATCTTCAATCATTAACTATACCTCTTTGTATTAAGTTTTTCATGTTCAATATAATTAAAATATAATATATGATTTTTAATTTATGTACAACTTAAACAAATCAACAAATCATAAGCACAAGAATTATTAAGTTTAGCAATTTATGTGTACAAAGTGTGTAAAAAAGAAAGAAAGAAAAAAGAAAGAATATGAGTGCATGAATGTGTGGGTCTCAATTGCCTATGTGGCATTGCAAGAAGGAATTGCTTATTTAGCAATCTTACTAAATAAGAAAGAAGTCCCAGAGGCCACATGCATCCTTGCAATTGCTTAAAGCTATTGCCACATGGGATTCCACCCAATAAGCAATGAGATTGAGATGCTCTAACGGTGGGATAATTTGTAAAGTTAGTGACGAATAAGAAAGAAAAGTAATTCGGATGACAAACGTGAAAGATTTTTATAATTTAACTTTTTTTTTTTTACAATATAATTTAACTATTTAAGAGACCAAATGTGTAATTTAGCTAGTAATTAATTTTGCGTATTATTGTTGATCGAGTCTCTCACTCAGGGCCGGCCAAGAGGGTGTGCTAGCCCGCCCTCCGGCACAGGGCCTCAGAATATTAGGGGCCTCTACTTAGATTCGTTAGTTACCAATCATATATTGTAGGTTGTATTTTTAGTGTATGATTGATTGATTATGAGTATGATGATGTGTTTAATATATAATTTTAGCTATAATAACAATTGAAAAGGATCTCACGGAGAATACGAAAATCTGAAAAATAATAGATAATTTTAATTTAAACAATATAGAAAGATATTACATTTTGAATAATGTTATTATAATCATTTTAGTTTTATTATAGTTAAAGGTCGATTTGGACCACGTCTAGATTTTGAAATAGGGCCTCCACGATCTAGTAGACAACCCTGCACCCACCTCTCGATCAATTTAGACTATTTTCATTTCTCCATTCAATTTTTGCGCTATATCCATTTTCTCTTCCTTCTAGATTTACTTTCCTCCCTACTAAGGATGGGAATTCGGTCTTGTTTTCTTGGTGAAACTGGAAACGAGATCGTTTATTTATGATGTAATCTTTATCTGAACTTAAGTATTTTTTTATAATTATTTACTAATTTTTAATTTTGATAAAATTTATGGGGAAAAAAATTAGGGCCACATTTTAAATTTTCGAACAGGGCCTCCAAATATTATGGGACGACCCTGCTCTCACTATTGGGTACCTCATCCATCCATGAGCTGCGTACGACGAATGAGAAGTACGTTGATTGAACCCCTCGTAACCACATCCACATGTTACAATTGGGCTTGTAGCTGCCTGCACGGCTAAACGGGCTTCGGGGTCAATTGGTTGGGTCATTTTTTTTCCGCAAAGTCAGTTGTAATAAAATCAGACATACAAAGAAAAAAAAAAGAGCGCGGGAGTCGACCAATAGTCGAACTCCCGATGAGAGGGCCTTTTATGCGCAGCCCTATTGATAGCGGAGAACAAAACAGTAAGAAACCTAACTACAGAGAGAAGCCGAGCTCTGAGCATCCTGCAAGATAGTTCCATCCTGATAATGAGGCAAGTCACCTGTCTGAGGAAGTCCCACCGATAACGGGAGCTCTTCTGCGTGCCTCACAAAAAAAACCAAACAAAACACACAAGCGTCCCCACTGAAGGCAACTAAGCTCCACTAAATGGACTTAAACAAGCCATTAAGGCTTAGTCGGATACACCGAAACCAAAACTATGTCAAATTTTTTTTTTAAGAATAGTTAAAGAAAAGCAAACAAATAAAACTGACAAAAATGACAAATAAAATGAATAAAAGGGAGGGTAAGTATCAAAAGAAAACAAATAAAAATTACTAATAAATAATGAAGGAAAAGCATAGCAGTTAATTAAAAAGATAAAGGAAATAAAAAATGACTAAATTACAATAATATAAAAAAAAACTGAGGAGTCTGTTTGAGTTACTTACCTGGAGAAGTTAGGCCATTGTAAAAGGTGGGAAATTGTAATTAATTAAGAAACCACGAAAAACCTTTCAACTTCCCTAAACTAAGAAAATACTAAACTACAAAAAAGTAAATACTATAACCAAAAAACTAAGTAAATGCTAAATTAATAAAAAAACAACAGTAATGTAAATCTTTTAACTTCCCTGAACCAATATACCGCGACGGAGCCCACCATTGCATCGCTCGTCACACGAAACGGATCCCTGCCATTCGACGATTGCAATCAAGCCACGTCGATTCTGCTGGCCCATTCTGCAGATCACTTACCAGACAAAAATTTCATCATCCCACCCAAGCTCGCCGCCGCCGCCAGTTCGGCTTCAAGACCACCTCTGTTTGTTCTCCGAGCGGCCTCTCTCTCGGTCGACGGCGGCCGGTTCCTGATATCGCTCGCTCTCGCCGCCGCGTCGCTTTTTCTTGAAGAGGAAGAGGAGTCTCTGTGCAGCGCCGACGCGGCGGCGGCCTCGGTCTTGGATTGCTTCTTCGACTTCGAACAGGGCTTGAAAATCGAACGAAAACTCGCATGGATTTGGGCGGATACTACGAATCCCACCCAAGCAACGGGTCAGATTTGGGCGGATACTACTAATCCCATGCCCTGTCTCGCTCTTTGATTCATTACCTGCTCTACCCCGTGATCTGTAACAGATCACCTATTTTTGCTCCAAACTTCGCCCCACACGGAACAGATTTTACCCTCCCCAATTGGTTGGGTCATTTTACCTAGGGATGGCAAATTACCCACCCATGGGTAATTATACCCAAACCCAAGTAGACCCATTGATAATGGGTTGGGTATGGGTGAAGTGCATATGGATTTTGGGGTTTATAGATGGGATTGGGTTTGGGGTTCCATAATCTAAATGGGTATGGGTTGGATATGGATATCCATTTACTTGAGGGTGCTTTAACTACACATGCAAAAATTGGACCTATTTGCAAAACTTGAAAAGTTTAGGTACCAAAATGTAAGGCCAAAAAAATTTAGGCACCAAAACGTAATTTTTCATCGATATTTTGAGGACTTATATGCAAAAAAAATTAAATTTAGATACTAAATATACATGCCTATTAAGTTTGGGTACCAAACTGTAATTTGTATTTAGGCATGGGTACAAACCCAAATCCATTTGATATAAACCCAACTCAACCCAAAGTAAATGGGTATGGGTACAAACCCATCAAGCTTTACCCATATCCATCTATTTGGATTTCATACCCAACCCAATTAGATTGAATAGTAAGAAACCCATGGATACGGAGAAAGTTGTCATCCCTAATTTTACCCATTCAACAAATGATTGAATGCCACTTTTTTTCTTCTATTTTTTTGGTTTGCCGAAGTCCAACTTGCATGCTTTGACTACGACTTGCGTACCTACTTGCGCTTTACGATACTTACCTGGCTGTGATCTATTCTCACATCAAATCATGTGTGCCAACAAATCCATTCATCCTCATTTTAACGGTCAGATTCGCAGTTGGGACCCTCACATCTCCGACGCGTCTCCTTCAAGACTGCAGCTTATTACAAAACGGTCAACTAATTAACTCAAACTTTCAAAACTCTCCTCGATCACCCTTTCTCTCGCCCAGATTCATTCATTTCCGCCTCTTCTCTCCCGCAGCCAACAATCTTTTCTCCTTGACTTGTAATCTCGCCTGTCGGTCGGTCGGTCGGTCGTTCATTCTTGCTTCATCGATCGATTCAATGGCAATCATCGCCGCTGCGGGAGGTGAAAGTCGTGGTGGAGACGTGAAGGTGGTGCTCATCGACACGCGTTACGTGGTGACCGAGCCCGAGAGCTTCAAGTCGGTGGTTCAGAGGCTCACGGGAAAGGATTCCTGCGTTTCTTGGATCCAAGAAGAGGCGTCTTTCACCGCCGCTACAAACCGAAAGAGGCCGAATACCTCTAATGGGCAGTTTTCGAAAGGGATGTCGTTCAAGGACTTGGACCGGATGATGCTAGAGATACCTGCGGCGGAGGAGCTGCGTGCTGCGTCAATTGTGGAGCCAAGTATAACTTAACTTAATAGTTTGTAGTTTAGCGTTGAAGCTTTTGTCAGTTTGTGTATATGAAACGGCAACGTTTTTAGTGTCGTGGGTCATCATGAATATATACATTCCTTCATTTTTTTATACTAATTAAAATTTTACTCCTGCCTGTTTTCAGCCATGAAAATGAAGATTAAATCCCTAGTGAACCATCGATACACGTGGGAAATGGGATAATCAAAAGAAAATGGTCAACTGTGAGATCTTTGATTCCCTTGTTTGACCGCTGACTTTGCACCTAACACCAAATTAAGAATCCTTTCTCATGATGAAACGGCAATTAGAGGTTTCCCACCAATCGTCCTCTCTAGATACGGCGAGAGTCGATCATGCCAAGTTTGTGGTCCCTCTATGAATGACGGGGAGAAGTGATTCCTAAAAAAAACACCAAGTTGTTAGTCAAAGGAAAGCAAAATAAAATATTTTAAAAGAATGAAATAATTTACAATCAAGGATATACAATTACTGATCGTATACCTCGAAACCCATCTATAAAATATTTGAATGAAATCAGATTGTTTTGTTTACAAAAAATAAATCACAAAAGGGTTTGTAGAGGGGAGGCCTTTAGGATATAACTCTAGGAATTCTTTCTGATGTGGAAGATCGGACTTAGCCGCAACCATAGAGCGTACTTAGAACGGAACTAGAATCCGGGAGGAAAATCAGAATCCGCGCCTCACTGCATCCGACGACAGCGGTGAAGGGACGAGGCGAGCGGATCGCTAACGTGGACAGCAGGGCGTTCCCCGCATTTTTCCATGTCAGCAATCCGCGTTCCCCAACCCTTCACCGCAGCCGTCCGATGCAGTGATGTTGTAAACAACCGCGGTGATTTTATCCCCGCATTTTATTACAACGGTGATGCATTCACCGTATTTGTTTAAAGAGGTGATTGAATCACCATTATTGTCTTCGGCGGTAATGATATTCACTGTTTTTGACAAAGGCTGTGAATGTCAAACATGTGTACTTTGTGGAGAAAAAAATATAACTTACATACTTTTGGAAAAAAAAATTACATGTGTATTTTGAGATTTTTTCCCCCAATTGCCAAGAGGCCATTCCTATTTGTTTGCTTATTTTTGGTACTTGAGATGACAAGTACTTCTCCTGGTTATAGTTGTAAAAAACATAACCCTATCTCGATAATCCATCCGGTCAACTGGCTCGCTCTAACTACAACTTCCCTATCGAAGGTCAAATTTAACAACAAAAGTGCTAGCTATTATACTGGGATGATGTTGCCCGAGATTAACCATACTATTATAGCTCAGATAAAAGTGAAGACATCGACTTCCCCAAAAGAATTCAGACCAATTAGTTTGTGCAACGTCATCTATAAATTGGTGTCGAAAGTGCTAGCTAATTGGCTGAAGACTCTACTTCACAAACTATTCTCCCCTGCTCAATCTGCGTTTGTTCCTGGTAGATTCATAATGATAATGTCATTGCGGCTTTTGAATGCTTTCATACGATGACAAGAAGACAAAGGGCAAGGTGGGATACTTGGCTATGAAGATTGACATGACGAAGGCCTATGACAGGGTAGAGTGGTACTTCCTCGAGAAAGTCATGCTTAAAATGGGGTTTGCTAATAGACGGGTGAAGCTGATAATGATGTGTGTTACGTCGGTCTCCTATTCGGTGCTTGTTTATGGCCATCAATTCCGGTTTTCAGGTCGGGACGGGGAATTAGGCTGGGAGACCCGTTATCACCGTACCTCCTCCTTCTCAGTGCGGAGGTCTTTCAGCCTATACTGCGTCGCCCATAGCCCAAAAGCGCCTGCTTGGTTTTCAATCGGCTCACAGGGCACTGGTAGTCTCTCACCTGTTCTTTGCTGATGATAGTATATTTTTTACCAGAGCCACTACTCAAGCTAGTTTGGAGCTAGAAAAGGAATCTAGCGAATTATGAAAGGGAAATGGGACAGTCAGTGAGTTTCTAGAAGTCAGAACTATCATTCAGTTCCAATGTGAAGCCGCAATGCAGGTTATAGATCAGCGGTATCTTTGGTATGAAGCTAGTTGAAACCATGATAAATATCTTGGACTGGATACAATTGTTGGCGTTCAAAGAATGAGCTGTTTATTGAGCTCGTAGAACGAGTTTGAAAGAAGTTGAAGGGTTGGAAGGAGAAGACACTATCAGTGGTAGCCAGATAAATTTTAATAAAATTCGTGGCTCAGACTCAACTATCTTATCCTATGTCGGTCTTCAGGGTGTCAGAGGGGGTTATCGTCGAGGTTCATAGCCTGGTTATGCGATTTTGGTGGGCGAGGCAAAGAACGACGAGCACATTGGATTAGTCAGGAAAAACTCCTTGTGCCGAAGGATGAAGGAGGTATGGGCTTCCGGGACCTCTGAGGCTTTAATGTGTACCTGCTAGCAAAACAACTATGGTGACTACACCAGAACCCAGAATCACTCATTGCCCATATTTTCAAGGCCAAAGAACATAAGAACGATTCTCTATTGGAGGCAAGCGTGGGATATCGGCCGAGTTTTGTCTGGCAGAGTCTTCTTAGCGTGCAGGACTTCCTCTGTGAAGTTCTTCCTCGAGGAATATCTCCAGCACCAGGTGAAGGATATAACCGAGTCAGCAACCGCTGCACAAAGACAATGGAGGAAGCCGGCGGCGGGCCGAGTTGTAGTCAATACAGACTCGGGACAAGTTCAAGGAGGAGGCACGGGGCTGGGAGTTGTCATTCGCAACTCGAAAGGGAAGGTTCTGCTTGCAACTGCTCGGCGAGTGCGAGGAAATTTCCAGCCCAAGATGGCGAAGGCTGTTGCGGCGGAAATGGGTGTGCAACTCGCCACACAATTTGAGCTCCCGAACCTATCCATGGGGGATTGACTGTTTATCTCTAGTTCAGAAACTCCACAACCCGAACACCCTTCGTTCTGAGTTGGGTGTGGTGTGCAGGAACATCCAGCGACTTTTGCTTGCTTCTGGAGACAGGGACTAGCATCATATTCGACACGAAGCAAATGAGGCAGTGCACATAATGGCACACACGAAAACGCGGTGGGGTGAAATTGTGATTGTTTGATAGGCCGCCTATTTATTTGGTTAATCATGTTCAATTAGATCTTGTAACAACGATGTAAAAAAAATCCAGCCAAATTTGTCCTTTATTCATGAAAATCGGATCATATTTGTTTTTAAGGAAAAGTGGGGCTTTATTTATCTATTTATGCAAAGTTGGAACCATTGAGGTATTTACCCTCAACAAATTCACATAAACTTAAATATTGATTTAATCCATCACAACCCTAGATTCAAATCAAATATTGATTCCATTCATCGGAAAAAATCCCAAGTTACACATGTTTTTAAAAAAAATTCTCAAAATACACACGTTATGAAAATAATTCCCAATCTACGCATGTTTGGGCCATCACCGCTGTCGACGAAGACAGTGATTGCATCACCGCTGTCGACGAGAACAGTGATTGCATCACCGCTGTCGACGAAGACAGTGATTGCATCACTGCAGTACACTGCCGTGGTGAAGGCCTGACCTGCGTCGAAACTTTAAACAAACGTAACTTTGTGCTCGGTTATCAGATCGTAGCAAAATTTTTTTTGATTCCGCATAATTTTTCGAGATCTTGCAAGCCGCAAATTGCCGTAGGCGGTTTGGTCCCGCCTTCGTCTCGAAAATATGTCGTTTGCTACCCCGAACGATCCTTTTTTCGAATTCGTTTCGAATTCGTCAAACTTTGAACGACCATAACTTTGTGCTCCACAATCCGAAAATCATGAATTTTTTTTGATTTCGCATAAATTTTTAAGGACTACAATTTTTATCATAGACATATTTTCGGAATGTACTTGGATTCCTGAAAAGGAAGGTAAAGTTATTCCCAAAACCCCTTATATCCATAAATAATTCATTTTTTGAAAATTCTGTCCTACTAAAAATTGTAGTCCTTAAAAATTTATGCGAAATAAAAAAAAGTTCATGATTTTCGGATTGTGGAGCACAAAGTTATGGTCGTTCAAAGTTTGACGAAATCGAAAAAAGGCTCGTTCGGGGTAGCAAACGACATATTTTCGAGACGAAGGCGGGACCAAACCGCCTACGGCAATTTGCAGCTTGCAAGATCTCGAAAAATTATGCGGAATAAAAAAAAATTTCACTACGATCGGATAACCGAGCACAAAGTTACGTTTGTTTAAAGTTTCGACGCAGGTCAGGCCTTCACCGCGGCAGTGTACTGCAGTGATGCAATCACTGTCTTCGTCGACAGCGGTGATGCAATCACTGTCTTCGTCGAAAGCGGTGATGCAATCACTGTCTTCGTCGACAGCGATGATGGCCCAAACATGCGTAGATTGGGAATTATTTTCATAACGTGTGTATTTTGAGAATTTTTTTTAAAAACATGTGTAACTTGGGATTTTTTCCTCCATCCATCACTCTTCCATCCATCACTCTAGAATTAAATACTGAGGCTAACAGTGCCATTATCTAAAAAATCTTAAATATTGGTTCGATGAACTTAAATATGATCGAAATGTTGGTTTCAAATTGAAATTTCCAGGCCGGCCACTAGGTTGTGAAGGGCGTATGTTTTGTTCTTGCTTGGCCAATTTTCAATTCGGTTAAACAACAATAGATCCCTTGTAAAACTGTTATCCTTCGACCCACTACAAGGTGAGAAATTTAGATCACTAACTTTTCAAGCTTGGAGTACTAATAGACGAGAAATGATAAACTAGCATATTACAGCTTACAAGGGAAGAGATCTGCACCATAGCACCAAACCTTTATTTTGAAATTAGAATCAGTTGAAGAGCTCGACTTGAATGCTGATTAAGAACATAGTTTCAGAAACACAAATCAACGCGCAAATCATCTGGACACCTACGTACCCACACACACAGCCACACTAATTCACAAGATAAATATGTAAGGTTAAAACCATACTTGCCCTCAGTGGAGAATTTGACTCCCGTAGTCTGCATTGAACTTCTCATACCGGTGGGCGTGAAGATGTGCAGACGGCCTTGTGTTCTTCAAAGCAGTATCTACATCTTGACCAGATATTGGCCCAACTTGCGGCAGCTCTGGAACACCAAAGCAACAACACACAGTTAAAAGCTTAAGTAGCAATGGCCTAAATAAAAATTCACTGCAGCTCCTTGCTATATGGAGTAGCTACGGAGACTTGAGCATAATTCCCCAAACAAACATAATTAAGTGACTTACCATCCTCAGGCACGATTTCCTCCTTGTTTTCAAGGATAGCCATGACACGCCTTAGTGGCTGCATAGCAGCTTCCTTGCAAACCAAACGAATATCAGAACCTGAATAACCTTCTGTCCTCTCCACCAAAACGTCATAGGGAAGCTCTGCCTCGTCACTTCTGGATGGTAGGAGTTCTTCAAACATGGCTCTTCTTGCTTCTGGCTCGGGAAGAGGTACGAGGATCTAAAGTTTTGGGGTCATGGGAAACAATGTTTGGAAATGATATGAACTACAAAATGCTTTATTTTGAAGGAATGACAAGGGAAGATGAAAGTGAAAACTGAAAAGGACAGATTGTGGAAGCGTGGAAAAAAGGATACACGCTTCTCAAGGCGGCGTAACATGGCTGCATCTAATTCCCACGGGAGATTCGTTGCTGCCAGAACAAATACGAGCTCATTTGTTCGCATCAATCCATCCATCTGCAATCTAAATATAATTGACTTTTTGAGTATGTGACGAATTTACTGCTTCAACCATTCAAAGACATCAACAAGATCACATACTGATGCCAGCCCACAAACGAACAAAAGGACAGTGGGTTGGAGATGGGAATAAAGAACATCACCTGAATGAGCAGCTCAGTCTTCAAACGCCTGCTTGCTTCATGCTCACTCCGACCTTCACCTCGTTGGCTAATAATGGCATCAATCTCATCAATGAATATAGTTGATGGTGCATGGTGTCTAGCAAGCTCAAATAAGACCTTTATTAGCTTCTCTGAGTCCCCTGCAATAGTGAGCGCCCTTATAATTAGACACACTAAAAGTACTATTCAAACAGTTTATGTTAACTACAGATAGAGGAATTCACAATATAATGACGAGCACAAATATTTTTCTAATCAGAAATGCTTACAGTTTCCATTAGACACGCTTCTTCTACAAGCAAACTAAGGTGTTTAACAGCATCTGAGGCCAAATAAATTCAGATATTGAAATTTTATAAGCTTGTTCCAGGATATTAAATCTATCACATAGATTTTAGCATCTCGACTGAATAACTTTTAACAACAGGCCATTATGTCCCCAATTAATGCATAAGATATCATTCAACCCACAGTTCAAGGATTGCGCTCCTATTACCTAAAGTCCTCAAATAGTATTGCAAAAAGCTATAGTTCACATTCTAGAGAACCAGACAACTCATCTAAAAAGACCCCCTGACTGCCTACAACATACCGCGCCACTTGCTAACAACAGAAGATGCGGAGATATTGAAAAATGTGGTTTTGCACTCCGTAGCAACTGCCTTTGCAAGCATTGTCTGAAACATGAAATAGAAAGTTGTAAGATACAATGAAAAGGAACTTATTACCAGAAGTTTCAAACATTTCCCTTTGACTAGTTGATTGCAGTACTATTGCAAGTGCAGAAAACAGCAGCCATAAACAATAGTTTCAAATCACTGGATTCCACTATATTATCTGCTTATTGGGATAAACTTCCAAAGGCATTCACGTTTCTGTTTATCAGGGACAATATGAGGCAGGGAAATTCGGGAGGATAGACAAGATAACAAACCTTCCCCGTCCCAGGAGGACCAAAAAGAAGAATGCCTTTCCATGGTGATAATAGACCTGTAAAATACCTAAACAGTGAAAGTCAGCCTAAATATGAACAATGAACTTGAAAGACTACTAGAACAACTTTCGTATGCTCAATTGCTGACCCTTAAAAAATTATATACTGTGGCAATAGGAGCACATACTTGGGATACTTTATCGGCATGACCACTGCTTCTTTCAGTAAGCGTTTCGCATTCTCTAACCCCTTGATATTTTCCCACTTGACATCTGGACTCCCACGAATAATATCCCTGAATATGTGAAGTAGTAAGGCAAGCAAATTTAATATGAGCAACAGCTTTCTGATGATTAAACTCAAACCCAAAAGCAACAAAAGCAGAGACAAAGCAAAGCAGGAAACGCAACACATATTATGGGGTGAACTCAAGCATTACCTGCACAAACCCTCAGCTAAAGAGCGTGTTTCAGCAGAATCGAAAGCAGGGAGCAAGGACTTCTGCCTAAGCATAGAAAGAACACCAAAGATCAAACGAGTGTTCAGCAAAAATGGAGTTCCCACTCCATTCCACAGCTTCATATTGTTGCACTTGTAAGAATTCAACCTACTAAGGGTTAGCCTGGTCTTAAATGTTGGATAAAAACATTCATTTCCACCCTACTACGGAAACTGAGGCCAATATTTTCTATTAAAAAAAGTTAAGTTTAGATTCTGAACCAGGATACATCTTTAGTATATACTGACAGAAGTTCTGTACATCTATCAGTCAAGCATTAGACATTAAGGAGGCTTTAAGATAGTCCAAATTTTAATATAAAACTCCAATATATCCACTAAAGGAGCCCCAGAACACTAAATTGCGAAACAATACTGGATAAGAAATACATACGGCACTTCACTGACTCCATTGGATAAAGTTCCATTGGGGAGACCTGAGCTCCCGTTCTGCAAAAAAAAAAAAAAAAAAAAAAAAAAAAAAAAAAAAAAAAATCAAATGAAGGTCAACTTTCAGCTGGTGAGATCCTGCAAACGCCATAGCGCAATGAAAAACAACTCATTCGGTCCATTGCAGTACCTGCAGGTTTCTAAACTGCTCATAAATGGCCATGTCAGATGAGTTGTTCTTCACGTGGCCGTTACCATTAGCAGCAATGCAAGAAGAATCCCCGTTGGGGACTGATCTATCAGCTGTGCCGTTTTCAGAATCTGGTGCTTTCTTTCTTCCGAACTTGGCATCATAGTTGGTTTTGAAATCCTAAGCACAGCGTTAGTCTCTTAAAGAATTGCACCATCTTTGCCCAAACTATCACTTAGAATACAACTTATAATACACAGCATCTGCCCCAGCACAGCACAAATCCGAACTTAATGAGCAACGCTGGAACGAACTACGCTTCAATGCAAATTGCTCCTCACACCACATCAACGATTCACACTTTAATATTTTATCAAGCAATTCATAATGGAAACTCGATTCAAGGAGCAAAGAGAAGTCAAATTCATTTCGCTAAGCAATGCAATCAATTGATCTCAATTCGTTTGGAGCGATACAAGGACAAAGGAAACTCGGTGAAGCGCAGCTTTTTGGTCAGCCAAATGGAAACAGGTAAAAGGAGAGTCGGCGAGAGAAACAGAAGGGATACCTGAAAGCTCCAGCGAGTTACGGAAGGTTCATCGGCCATTACAGATAAAAAGATCTGAGAGCGAAAGGAGGAGGAAGAAGAAGAAGAAGAAGAAGAAGAAGGGAGATCTCTCTCTCTCCCTCCACTCTCTTTCGGACTCACTATCAGTCACTCGGCCTGTCCTGTGGCTCAATTTCGATTTGGGATAACTGCATCTGCTCTGCTGACTGCCGAGCCTTTCACTGTTTGCTGTACTTCACGTCTTCACGGCCAAAAAAAAAAAAACAAATAAAGCAAAAATCAAAGGAAAACCATGTGGTTAAAATATTATACTGACAAACAAAGTACTCAAACTAATATTTTACTTGTTGTGTCCCTTCGGGGACATCCGATAAAATATTTTACTTCTTGTGATTCTCTCTCAAGTCTCAACGACAAAATTGTGATTTGGATTTTGGACAAAGTATGAAGCGATTAGCAACTACGCCAACTACTACCCTCCGCCAAATGGTTGACTTTTTCTGTAGCAAATTTTTTAAGCATTCAAATTCATACAATGATTCCATTGCAATACCAATTTTTTTTTTTTTTTTTTTTTTTTTTTGATAAGGGTGATATAGGTTCATTTTGTTGCTATTAAGGTACTACTTAAGGGATTCGAACCTGGGACCTCCAGGTTCAAGGCTAGTGGTGTTACCACTAGGCCAAGCCCTTGTTCGTTCCATTGCAATACCAATTACATATATATTATTATTCCTATTGCCATCTCATAAACTATACAATTCAACTTATGTCAATTTTATTGCACAATATTAATGCAGTTGAATTGCAATTCTAAAAGCATTCACATCAATTCAATTGCAAAATCAATTGTATTTATAATTTTATAGTCACCTTTCCAATCCCGACATTCATCGTTGGCTCTTGTACAATTCGGTTGGCGGATTTGTTGTCCGTTCGATTTAGTAATCTGAGGTAATGGTGCTTGCATCCTTTAAAAAAAATTATAGTCACCTCAACATTTTAGCAATAAAACAAATATTTTTGCAATCCAACTCACATTTTTTTCATTGCACCTACATCAATGCAATTAACTTTTTTTATGAGAATAAAAAATTACCATTAAGCGCCAGGACACCCAAATACGAGGGATCCTCTCAAAAGTACTCTATTACAAACTATGAGAAAGCTGCTCAAGAATCATCTATACAACAGCAATACTTTGTAAGAAAAATATATTCAAAACCAGCAGACTCTTTGTAACTATGCAATCAACTTCAGAACGAATTCTTGTAACCAACTGCCTGGGATTAGATATGCCACCATCACCATACCAGCGATGACAGTGCTCCTTCCACACATGTCCAATGACCATCCTCCATAAGAGCCTGCTAGTGCGAGCATAATTTGATCCTCCCTGCCACATTCTTGACGCCCAAGTAAGATGGGAATCCCGGTCATTGAAACAAGGAATGCGAATAGGGAAGACAACCTGCATTATGTAGAGGAAGAAGGGCACTGACAAAAATAGATGGAACCTATTCTCAGCTCCCCCTGGGCAAAGAACACAGCACCCAGAAGTAATCTTACCCCACAACATAAGCTTGTCAGCTTTAGTAATTCTGTTATGGACAATAAGCCAAGCCAAAACACTATACTTAGGAATGGAGGGCTTGTCCCAAACCAACTCGGCCCAGGGAACATGAGGAAAGGATTCCCTAATACTCAACTATACTCGTTTTACATAGTAACGAGACATGGGACTACCATCCCAAATGAGGGAGGAACCAGCACCGGTGATAAATCGACTAGCACAAGCTCTCAGTTTCAAGATATGCTTCCATATCCAAGATCCCACAGAGGTAGCAGAAACTTCCCAAATGGTCTTGAACTTGAGGCGATACAGTTTGATCCATGCGACCCAGATAGCCCACTACTTGTTAATATTGACCACATGTGCCTTATAACACAAGTTTTGTTCCACATACGAAAATCATTAATTCCCAAACCCCTTCAGACTTCATTAATACTACAAAATACCAGGCAGCTGACGCTTTATGCCTTGCACTCCCTCTACCACACCCCATAAGAAATTATTGCAAATCTTCTCAATATCTTCCAAGATAGTTGTTGGTAAAGTAAACACATTCATCCAAAACTGCAAAACGCTGGAGATAACAGAAGAGATCAATTGAATTCTACAATGCAATTAACTTGTTTTTGCATATTTGGCCGAATTTATGTTTTTAATATAATAAAATATTTATATATGCTTATATATGCATCAGTTTATCCACTTTACATATTGGAATTAAATAAAATATTAAATATTTTAGTTATAATTTAAATGAAAAATCATATAATTAATGCATGAAAATTTTATTGCTAATCGATGAAGACATTTTTGCTTTAACGATAAACAGAAAAGAATTTAGTAATTCTATAAAAGAAGAATTGGGTATTCTTCTTTTTTGGTCGTAATTTCCATATTTAATAAAAACTCTTCTTATTATGTTGAGTGTCCCTGGTTCGTCCTTATCACAGTTTACCTTCCCTATGTTATAGCCAACAGGAAAGATCAACTAGAGGACTTATGGAGATTTTGTTCATGTTTATCTTATCAGATCCTTATCATAGGAGACGTTAACTCCTCTCTATTTCCCTCAAAAAATCAGGAGGAGCTCCTTGGCGTATGGACAAGGCTCGTCCTTTTGGGACTTTCTAAATCACATAGGTCTCTTTGAGACCCCCTTCTCAAGGTCCAAAATTCACCTGGACTAAGCACGGTCGAAAAGGTGTCATGATTGGACAAAGAATCGATAGAGCTTTTGTATCGCCATCTTGGATGAGATTTGGGCCCAACTTTTGTCTTTATCACCTGACTTATAGGGGATTGGATCATCGATTATGACGCTTTACTACCCTTGTAGAATCCCATCGAGCTAAAAGGCTCTTCATGTATGACATTTGTTGAACGAACATGCAGAAGTAGGTCTAATCATTTCTTATATATGGGGGGTGCCTATTGAAGGATCCCTTCAATTATGGTTGTTTTTCTCGCCTCTTGCGTATAAGATATACCTTAGGGGATTGGTATATAGGCAGTCAATCAAAATGAGCAATGCTCATTAATGACTTAAGTCAGGTACTCGAAAGGGCTAGGGATGACCGAATAGTTGATTGGGATATGGTTCGATTCTTGGAAAATAGACTATTGATCCAATACAAATGAGAAGAGCTTTTTTGGGAACAAAAGTCTCATATCAAGTGGCTTCGAGGATATAGAGACACGACCTACTTTCATATGGTTATTTCCACTCGACGTCAAAGTAACATTGGTTGGGGCCTTGAAGATGATAGAGGCAATTGGTGCACTTACAAAGTGGAAAAATGTAACATAGCCAAAAGTTATAACAATAGCTCTTTCAATGTCGGGACATGGGAGGGATAAGTGTTGGTTGCGTCGAGCGCGAGACTTTTATACCTGTCTATCAAACACTAGACCACAAGTAAGTTCAATTAAAAGATTTCTCTCAATTGAAACTAAAGAACAACCTAACTAATTAATCTACTTGCTATACCAACTATCAACCTACTGGATCAGCTTACCAAAGACCTTGGCCTAATCACTACACAATAATTAAATCCTTAGCTTAGTCACTTTACTTAGGCTATTAATCTGCCCCACGCAGAGCAAGCCTTCTGAATGCACAACTGGGCTTCTAGGCCCAAATACTTAGTCCTAGCGGAGGGATTAAACAGACCCGGTGCACCAGCCCAAATATTAAATCAACCTGACCCAGTCTTTAATTGACCAACCAAAAACGACAGTGGATTATGTTCAAACTACTGCTTCCCTCCCACTTGCCTCTTCGATCCAAAGCAAACCTGCTTCTGTAAGAATGACGCACAGAGTCAGAAAATTAAGAACACTGCAATATAACCCGAGGCAAGATTAAACCCAGTTAATCCAAATCCAGTTTCAACGGGTCTCTCAACCCTGTCCAGGGACCTCGCCTTCCCAGGCTGCTCTAGGAGCAAGTTCCCCTGCACAATCAGACCTGGAACAGAATACGAACAGAGGATCACACAAACTGGAAAATGAAAAACAGAATAGACACACAGCCCGCGATTTTTACGTGGTTTCCAGTATTGGGAGAATAAGAATCCCAATACTGACTACTCCACGGTCGGAGAGTCACGATTGTGTGATCTCCGACGATTCACTATGATTTTGCGTTGAAGTTCGTCGTTACAAGCTATCTACCCAAGAACCCTTTGATCAATCTCAACCAGATTGATCAAACACTCTTTTCTCAAACCCGAGCTGCTTCCCCAGGAACTCGAAACCAGTGTTTCCCCAACACTAACCCTCAAAGCAATTCTCCCCGAACCCTTTGAGAAAACCCCCTTTCCTATCAACCTTGCTTCTCTCACAAAATCCCATTTTGTCTTAGCTAGCTTTGTTGATCTCTTGAAAGGTTGCATTGCTCTTCCTTCAAATAGCCTTTTATAGGCTGCCAAGTAGCCGTTGCTAATTTAAATACCTTCCCTTATTAGTGATGATTTGATTGAGATTCCATCTTCTGATTTGATTTGCATTGTTGTACCAAATCTCCTTAATATGATCTCTCCTCTTATTTTCTTCCTTCTTTCCATGTTTGCTCCTGATCTTCTTTCCTTCTCAAGTGGCCTTTGACTAGCTTGTTCCAACATTCTCTCCCTAAGCTGTCAATGGCCAACATTCTCCCCCTGAACATAATGTCACTAACTTCAGACTAAACTTGTCAAAGCTTCACTCTTAATCTGCTAATAATCAGAACCTGCACACTTAAGCAAACCATTGGTGTAGCCTGTCCAACAAACAACTAATGGCTATCATGAATTGAAAAGACAACTGGGAGTCCATTTTTATTCGTAGAAATAGTAATCAAGGTACATTCAACACAGTGACTCAACATGACAAAGTTTAAACTCATTCAAGCAAAGAACAATGACCCAACAGACTATGACTCAAACATAAAAGAGACATCCGACTTCTACTTGATTAAACCAACCCACTCCATAAAGGAGACAACATACTTTTACTTGATTAACCTAAACCACACCATTTTACTAACTCTAATTCATCTATGGATCTCCCCCTAAGCCTAGTAGTCGACGTTCCTAGTAGGTGTAATCCGGAGACGAAGCATACTCTGATGGGTCGTCTTCCTCATTCTCCGAAGGTAAGAATAAAACCTTGTTAACCTTCTTGCCAGAAGAACTGGCCTCTTTCCCTTTTAGGGCCACGGTGAGATCATGAAGAATAACTTTTCCCTCCTTCTCCAGCTTTATCCCTTCCTGGAGATGTCTCATGTTTAGACCCCTCTTGCGCTTTCCGGACGATTCTGTCACTTCCTTTCCTTTGCCAAGTCGCGCAAACAACGCTGCAGTATTGTCGTCTTCATTAGGTTTGGATTCAGACTGAGCAGATTTGTCTCCCCCTTGAACTTTGGCAAGTTTTCGAGGTCCAAGCTCCGAGAGAGTGCGGCGAAGAACATGCTGAGCTTGAAGGTCTAAATGAACATCCCTGTTAGTAATTTTTCCACGCAAATCAACCCCTAAGATTGCCAGCAGATAGGTGATTTGCGGGCCAAAAGGCAGCTTCCCGCTACACTCTTCATCTTGATATTTAATCATGTGATTAAACATCAGGGAGGAATAGTTGATCGGGCAGCTTGTCTTTGAGTTGAACAGAATCCAGAGATCGGACTCGTCCAGAATGGTGGCCTGTTCAGCAGCGCGAGGGAGAAACACGAGCGACAAGGATTCGAAGGGAGTCACATAGGGAAGGAATTGATCGAACAAAAGAGGGGATGAGGGAATTAGTGATTTGTTCGAACAGAAGCTTAGGGATTTTAGGCAGTCGCTGAAAAAGGAAAGGCGCCATCATTTTGATGAACTGGAATCGCACGAGCGACAGAGAGAGTCTGCTAGGGTGGAGATTGGGCTTATGCCCACAACCCGAGTGAGCGGCGCTAGCAGAGGATTTCGAATGAGGGGATTGAACAGGCAAGAATCTCATGGAAGGCTGGGAGATGGACAGGATAGTGAGCTGGGCTTAGGCCCACAAGGCCTGGTGAGGGGTTAGAGAATGAGGGCTGAGGATACACATTGAATGTGTTTAAGAAGGCTTAGCCCACTGATTATGATCAGACCAAGAGACCATAATCAGACCTTGAATAAGCTTAACCTAAATCGTTAGTTTCACTAGACAGAATAAGCCCTAGTTCTCGACGAATAGTTAGAAATTGGTCAGCACATAGAGGTTTAGTGAAAATATCTGCCCATTGGTTTGTCGTAGGCACAAATTCTAGTTGAATTTGGCCATCTTCAACCAATTCTCGAATAAATTGGTACCTAATTTCTATGTGTTTGTACGAGAATGTTGAACCGGATTTTTAGCCATATTATTGGCACTCGTATTATCTCACAAAACGGGCATGCGGCCACGTATTCAGCCTCGGCGGTGGATAGAGCAACAGAAATTTGTTTCTTACTAAACCAAGACACAAGAGAATTTCCTAGAAATTGACATGTCCCGGAAGTACTCTTACGATCAGCTATGCACCCAGCATAGTCTGAGTCACTATATCCAATTAAATCGAGACTTGACTCACAGTCATACCATAGACCTAGATCCATTGTACCAGCTAAGTAACGAAAGATTCTCTTGACCGCAGTCAGATGACTTTCCTTAGGAGCACTTTGGAATCTAGCACAAAGACACACACTAAATTGGATATCGGGTCTACTAGTAGTAAGATACATTAGTGACCCAATCATTCCTCTATAGAACTTTTTGTCAATTGACTTACCCGACTCATCCTTGTCTAGTTTATTGGTAGAGGCCATAGGTGTAGTTGCAGTTTTTAGATTCCCAAATTCAAAGCGTTTTAACATGTTTTGAATGTACTTTGTTTGACTAATGAAAATACCTCGAGTTGTTTGTTTAATTTGCAGACCCAAAAAATATGTTAATTCTCCCATGGCACTCATTTCAAAAGTTTTCTTCATGATATTCTCAAAATATTCGCACAACACTTTGCTAGAAGAACCAAATATAATGTCATCAACATATATTTGAACTAGTAGCATATGTTGTCCTTGATTTTTTACAAAGAGAGTCTTATCCACTGAGCCCCTTTTAAAACCTTCTCCTAAAAGAAAAGAACTGAGTTTTTCATACCATGCTCTTGGTGCTTGTTTGAGTCCATATAGTGCCTTCTTCAATTTATAGACATGGTTTGGGTATCTAAAGTCTTCAAAACCGGGTGGTTGTTCCACATACACTTCCTCTTTTAAATCCCCATTTAGAAAAGCACTTTTGACGTCCATTTGAAAAAGTTTGAAACCATTAGAGCTAGCAAACGCACATAACATTCTAATAGCCTCTAAACTAGCTACCGGAGCAAAGGTTTCATTGAAATCTATTCCCTCTTCTTGATTATACCCTTTAGCTACTAACCTAGCCCTGTTTCTAGTAGCTACCCCATTCTCATTAGACTAGATCTTATAAATCCACTTAGTCCCGATAATAACTCTATTAGGTGGTCTGGGTACCAACTCCTACACATTAGCTCGTTCAAACTGACTCATTTCTTCATTCATAGCAGCATTCCAGTTTTCATCATTCAAGGCATCTAACACATTTTTAGGTTCTACCAATGACACAAAAGCAGTGTGCACAATTGAATTTTTAGAGCGAGTGATCATACCTTCATTTAGCCCTCCTATCATAAGTGAAGAAGGATGACGTTTGGCAATATGAGGAGGAGGTTGTCTCACTTCATGGTCTTGCTCGATCGGAGAGTTTTTAGTACTTACTGTTTTATCTTGATCTTCATATATGATCGTTCTGGGTTCATATTTCTCCGTGTTTGATGTCCTTGGTAGATCATAGCTCCCACAAAGTCCAAAATCATCTTCATCTATCTCATCTGAGCACTCATTAGCAGATTCATCAAATATCACATTTATGGACTCTTCCACTTTAAGAGTCCTTTTGTTAAATACTCTATATGCTCTGCTAGTCATGGAGTAGCCTAAAAACACACGTTCATCGGACTTGGCATCAAACTTCCCAAGATAATCTTTGGTGTTTAATGCAAAGCACTTGCAACCAAAGGGATGGAAGTAACTCAGATTGGGTTTTCTTCCTCTCCAAATCTCATAAGGAGTCTTCTTAATTTCAGATCTGATCAAAGCTCGATTAGTAATATAGCATGCAGTATTTATGGCTTCAGCCCAGAAGTACTTAGGCAAACCATAGTCATTTAACATTGTTCGAGCTATGTCAATCAAAGTCCGATTTTTTCTTTCCACCACTCCATTTTGTTGCGGAGTTCGAGGAGCAGAAAAATTGTGACTTATTCCTAGCTTATTACAGAAGAGTTCAAACTCTTCTGAGATAAATTCTCCACCATGATCACTTCTAATGCTAGCAACCTTAGACTGCTTTTCATTTTCCAATTTCCTAGTTAAAGACTCAAAATTTTGAAAAGCTTCACTTTTGCTAGCTAGGAACAATACCCAAGTGAAACGAGAATAGTCATCTACAATTACAAAGGCATAGGACTTACCTCCATAGCTTACCACATTGGTTGGTCCGAAGAGATCAAGATGAAGTAGTTCAAGTGGTCTCGATGTAAATATTACCGACTTACTCTTGAAGCTAGACCTTGTATGCTTCCCTTTAGCACAAGCATCACAAAAGAATTCCTTTTTGCCTTTTAACTTAGGCAAACCTTTAACTAGCTCAAGATCACCAAGTTTAGACAGAATCCCTATACTCACATGTCCAAGCTTCCTATGCCAATCTATTTGATCATTCTTCTCTAATGACATCAGACAGGTTACCTTAAAACTTTCTTTATCATCTAGATCTATGACATATAACTTATTTTTACGTCTACCGGTGAAAAGCACCTTCTTATCCACCAATGACTCGATGTAGCAACAATCATGTTCAAAAATTATCCTCTTATCTTTGCCACACATTTGACTAATAGAAAACAGATTATGCTTAAGACCTTTAACTAGCATCACATTTTCAATGCATGGATCTGAACCTACAATTCCTCTTCCTATTATGCCGGCAGAATTATTGTCACCAAAAAATACCTTACCACCTTTACCTTCTTTGAGAGTGGTGAATAGGTTTCGATTTCCCGTCATGTGGTGTGAGCATCCACTGTCTAGTATCCATTTAGTTGCCTCCATGCTCACTTGGAAGCAAACCTGCGCCATTAGCAGTCATGCAGTTTTGGGTTTTTGTATCCAGACTTTCTTGGATACAGTTTGTTTGTGATCTTTAACGGAACAAAATCTACTAATGTGACCCACTTGATGACAAGTAAAGCAAGTTCTATATTTTTCATCTAGAACTCTCTTCCTACATACTCACCTAATGTGCCCAACCTTATGGCAATAGAAGCATTCCATGTTCCTATATCTTTGTTTTGAAGAACCATTCCTCTCATGCTTTAATGACCTATCAAAAATCTTTGACTTGCCTTTACTACATGAATTTGATTCTAAGTTTTCACAACATCCCTTAGCGGGGTGATTTAGTTAAGAATTGCCTTCCTTTCTTGGAGATTCAGTTTTGTTTCTTTCTAATGATTCTTGAAGTTTTACCGTGAGACTCCATTTCTCATTTTCTAAGACTTCAACTTTCTTAGTAGTTTCTTTTAACTCTTCTTTTAATCTGGCCGCCTCCTTCTTTAGTTCATCATTTTCAATATTTATTTTGGCATAATCAGATTTTAGTTTAGAGTATTTTACTTTAACATTGGCAAACTCTAATTGAATTTCCTTGATAGTGGTCACTAATTGATCATCATCACTATAGTAATCACTGTAACTAAAGTAAGTCTGGTTGGAAGATTCAGCCTTGATATGCCCAGTTTTCCCACATCTAAAGCATCCGGTAGTGTTTTGAATCTTGACCGGCTGAACATGATCAATCTTGTTTTTGTGGAATGCTCTTGATTGAGGGTATTTTGTGGTAGCATTATTCTTGGGACCCGACGCCATCTTGATTTACACCGGAGGTCGTTCAACCTTGTTCTACGGTGACCGTGCTCTGATACCACGTGTTGGTTGCGTCGAGCGCGAGACTTTTATACCTGTCTATCAAACACTAGACCACAAGTAAGTTCAATTAAAAGATTTCTCTCAATTGAAACTAAAGAACAACCTAACTAATTAATCTACTTGCTACACCAACTATCAACCTACTGGATCAGCTTACCAAAGACCTTGGCCTAATCACTACACAATAATCAAATCCTTAGCTTAGTCACTTTACTTAGGCTATTAATCTGCCCCACGCAGAGCAAGCCTTCTGAATGCACAACAAGGCTTCTAGGCCCAAATACTTAGTCCTAGTGGAGGGATTAAACAGACCCGGTGCACCAGCCCAAATATTAAATCAACCTGACCCAGTCTTTAATTGACCAACCAAAAACGACAGTGGATTATGTTCAAACTACTGCTTCCCTCCCACTTGCCTCTTCGATCCAAAGCAAACCTGCTTCTGTAAGAATGACGAACAGAGTAAGAAAATTAAGAACACTGCAATATAACCCGAGGCAAGATTAAACCCAGTTAATCCAAATCCAGTTTCAACGGTTCTCTCAACCCTGTCC